GTCCTGGGAGATGTGCCCAAGAGACAGGCACAGCTGGGTGAGCATCCCCACTGTGAGGGTGGCTCTTGTAGAGACTGAGGCTGTAGCCAAACCGTTTTCACTTGTGAGCTCATCTAGATTCAGTCGTTGTTGCTTAAAGCAGTCCTTGCTCTGGCAGAACTGAGTGGTAGGGCCAGTGTCCTCCCTGCCAGCACAGCCAGAGGGGATGTACTTAGCTCATAAAAGAGTCAGGAGGGGCCTATGGCTTGGGGAACGTGCAAGGGACCAGAGGTTTGATATCTATCACACATGCATGTTTGTTCTGGAGAGCCGTGACACACCAAACTGCTTGGTGTTGAGGCAGCATCCAGGGTTGGAAGCTAGCAGCCTCCAGCCCTGTTCCTGTCCTACTGCGGGGTCTTTCTGTCCCCAGAGCTTGTGTTGCATGGGCAGGACTCTTGTGTACAGTTTAGAAACAAGTGGGAAACCACTGGGTTGGAGAATACTGCCAGAGGAAGCTCAAAGGCTGAGAGTTAGTGCCTTGCAGCTGCTCAGTCATCTGAAGGGACAAACTGGCAGCTGCTGGCTTTGGGTCACCGTGCAGGTGTTTGTCCCTGCAAAGTTTCAGGAGCAGATGGGTTCTGTCTTGGTGCAATCCTGGGAAGGGAGCAAGGAGCGTTACCCTGCACTGTGTTCAGAAAAGGTGTATCCTCTGGCCCAGGAGCAGCAAGGGGTGGGCAGGGCAGTGGGGAAGCAGGGAGCTCTCACAGCATCTGGGTTCCTTTCCAGCTAAACCACTTCCCCGGTTCATTTCAAATTGGGAGAAAGGACCGTCTGTGGCGCAACTTGTTGAAGATGCAGGCTCGCTGTGGGAAAAAGGAGTTTAATTTCTTCCCCCAGTCCTTCATCCTGCCCCAGGACATCAAATTACTCAGGAAAGCATGGGAGGAAGGAGCTAGCTGCCAGAAATGGATTGTGAAACCAGTAAGTGCAAAGCAGAGCTCAATCCTCTGTCCTATTGTAGTTGCAGGGAGAAGATCTGATCCCTTCTTGTTTGTGTTTTGCAGCCAGCATCAGCAAGAGGCATTGGTATTCAGGTCATCCACAAATGGAGCCAGCTCCCCAAAAGGAGACCGCTGCTGGTACAGAGGTGAGTGAAGGAAAGCAAGTTTGACAAACAGCCTGGGACCTCTGAGTGTCTGGTCTCTCTGGCCAGGACTTGGCTGCTGACGCTATGTGGCAGAGCAGAAGCACGCGATTTGCATCCAAAAACTTCTCGACTGCCTGGGTGTAATGCTGCTGCTGGAAGTCTGGCTCTGTCAGCTGCAGCTGGGCTTAATGGAGTGCTGCTGTCTCTGCATAGATTTTTTTTGAGGTCTTGGGTACAAACTGGCCCACGGGCGTTCTCAAGCTTTTGTCTGCCAGGTGATCCAGCTTCAGCTCTGCTGTGATTCTGCTGCCATTGCTTTGTACTCCGGGGTTTGGCATCTTTGGAAGTGAACAAATCTTATCCAGTGCCTCCAAGCACAGTGGGAAGAGAAGTCCCAGGGAAGAGGGGGCAATTGTCAAAGACTAGTTCTTACCCAAGTTAGAATGGGGCAGTAAGAGCCTCTGTGTGTGTGTGGATGTTGGTCAAAGGGGTTTCTTGAAATTACAGGATTTTGAGAATCTCCTTCCCCTTCTGCAGAAAAATGGAATAGCTCATCTTGATTTGAAGCTGCTGTCTGTGAAGGTTCTTGTGAAGACAGGAAAACTGTCTGGTGTTTGGCAGACAGGGAACTGCTGTGTTGGCTTCTCTGTTCTCCCTGTCTGCTTCCTGTACAAAAATGATAAGCTTTCCTATGTAAAATCATGAACTTCTGGGGTGAATGATCAATTATTTGGATGAAAATTTCCAGCTGTTTCTGCTCGCTGAACCAAACCATCTGTGGTCCACTGCACGTCTTAGATGTTCCTGAATATTGTGGTCGGTCTTGTGGGTATGGAAAAGCCACTGTGGCTTAGAGCTGGGGAAAATATCTTCAAAATGGAACTGAACAGAAGGGAATATGCTCATGTGCTGCAGATTCTCTGCATGCATGGGAGGGCTTTGTTCTCTCTCATTTTCACTGTGATGCGCTTAACTTGGAAACGCTGTGCAAAAGGGCTTCTGCATTGATCCCTGGCTTTGCCAAGCATTTAGAGATGGGGGCTAGAGATGTTCCTGCACACAGAAATCATAACCCTTCTCTGGTGCCTGCTTCCCTCTGCAGATATCTGCACAAACCCTACCTCATTGGCGGGAAGAAGTTCGATCTGAGGATCTACGTTTATGTCACTTGCTACGATCCCCTCAGGGTCTACCTGTTCAAGGATGGATTGGTTCGCTTTGCTAGCTGCAAGTAGGTTGTGTGGGAGAGCGGTGCTGGGGCGCTGCCTCAGTGCGAAGGCATGTGTGGCTGTGGTATCCACCTTGGCTGGGGCAGGAGAGAGTCATTCTGTATACGTGATGCTTAGAGCTGTAGCTTGCTTGCTTAAGAAACAGTCTGGAAACACACGAGGTCACTGCAGGTGACAGTGTTGAAAGGGAATGTGAGAGGATGCTTCATTCATCCAGCGTTCGCAAGGCAAGATCAGCTTAGGGTAAAGCAGTTCTTGAAATATGCTGTCTGTACTTGGTACTGCATAAGAGCTGGCATACCAGAAACTGAGATGTTTCTATCAGTTTTGACTATATTGCCATGGGCTGCTACAGTTCCGTCAGTGCTTTTGCTTACTGATGCTGTGGCCTTTCCTTAAGTACCTGCTGCGAGGGTGGGATTATATCCCACTGTTCCAAGGCAGCCTGCTCCATCCCTCATGCTTTGTCCCATCATCTCTGGGCCCATGGAGACAGAGAGCTCCAGGCAGGCTGGGAAAGGGAGGCAGCAGGGCTGGTGCGTGGCCAGGAGTGGTGTGAGATGAGAACAGAGTTTCTTCCTGCTCCACAGGCCTGCGGGCAGCCAGTTTGAGCTCAGACTGCATGTGCTTCTGTCACTTCCAGATACTCCTCCTCGATGAAGAGCCTCAGCAACAAGTTTGTGCACTTGACCAACTACAGCGTGAACAAGAAGAACACGGAGTACAAGTCCAACTCAGATGAGACTGCTTGTCAAGGACACAAATGGTAGGTGTGCTGCTTTTAGGGCACAGGGCAGCTCTTTCAGACTGTTAAGTCAGCCTTTTTTAAGTATTCCTACCCAAAACTTGAAGGTGCTTCCTGTATCGTCTGCGCACGCTGGGGGTAGCTGGAGCAGCAGAGTGATTTTGGTGTGGGTTAGTGGCAATGGAATCTGGACGGTCTCCCTGGCTTGTGACTCATCCTGTCCACTGCTGCTTGGGCTGTGGTTGCCATTCATCCTGCCTGTGTCTGTGCTGTTCCCTGCTTCCAATGCTGCTCTCATCTGTACTCATTCATCCCCTTGCCCTGTTGCGGGGGCGATGGGATGTGGTTAAAGCAGAATCTGATTTTTTTTCTATTAGAACTTGAATGGGTAGTTGTGATGCTTAAATTGGCTAGATGGGAGCTTCTGCCCGTCTCGCTCTTGACTTCCGCAGGAGGCAGAGAAAGGGACAGTCCTGGTGCAAAACTGATAATTTATGTACTTCTCGGTGTGCACAGGAGTGGTGGTGCCATTTCTAGGCATTTGAGAGGAGGGCTGCTGCAGTCTTGCAGAAGTTCCTGTTCCCTGCTGTCCCATGGGTGGACTGATCCAAGGCCCCAGGCACTTGTCTCTGATTCCACAGTGGTGTTTGAACTCTTTTAAAAATAGTGCAGGATAGAGTTCTCAATTCGTGGGCCTGGACAGGGCTACTTCACTTCAAAGGGAGCTGCAGAAGGTGGTTTGCTGTGGTAGAACTGCTTTCTCAGACCTGGACCTGTTGCGCAGTGGTCTGTTCCTCCACTGGGACGTTGAGAAGGGTCTGCTGTCCCCTAGCAGTTGAAATCCCATGGAGGTGGGATTGTGTGGGTTTTCAGTACTGCCATGCAAGTCAAAGCTGGCTGCTCCCACATTAAAGATGAGAGTGGCTGTAATCCACTCCATCTCGTATGCAGGAAGCGTGACCTTTGGATTCCTGGCCATTAGCCACACGGTCTCACTTAAGCAACATCTGAGCATCCTTGGCTCAGTGTCAGGGTAGCTTGCAGCACTCGGTGTGGTGTGGGAAACTCCTATAAAAGCACAGACACTCCCCCCTACCATCTTGTTCTCTACGTTTTTCACAAATTTTTCTCCACCCCCCAAAACCTCAGTGAAATGGCTCTAGCTAAAAGATTTACGGGGGTCTTGCTGGCTTCCTGCTGGGCTGCTTTGCAGTGCTGCGGGGGAAGGCCTGCAGGAAGGGGAGGTTTGCTGAGGACATGGCTGAGCTGCTTTGCAGTGCTGCGGGGGAAGGCCTGCAGGAAGGGGAGGTTTGCTGAGGACATGGAGGGGGAGGGAAGAGAAGATCTGGGCCTGATATACCTTGCTCATGTGCTAATTTGGGACCTATTACTCCAGTGCTGGGACAAGGCTATGACAGATTTATGTTCCTACTAGCTTGGGCCTACAAGACATGGGGCCAGGCTGGGGAGGGCAGCAACCGGGAGCTGAGGGGTTGGAGGGTGGCAGAAGGATGGCCGGGCCAGGGAAGAGCTTTGTCAAGGCTCCTCTCTGCTGCTTTCACTCCCCTAGCACGGCTGGGCAGCAAGGAGCTACAGAGCTACCTCCTTTGCTTTCTCTCTCCCAGGGCACTCAAAGCTCTCTGGAGTTACCTGACCCAGAAGGGAGTTAATAGCGAGGCCATCTGGGAGAAGATTAAAGACATCGTTATCAAAACCATCATTGCGTGAGTCCTGGCACCCCTTTCTCTGTGCCTGGCTGTGGGGTGTACCCTGGCCCCTCTGGCTCTCCAGTCCCCTCTCAGCCTAGTCCTTTTGCTCTTAATCTAAATTCGACCACTACTGTTGGCTTCAGTATTTCCCTTTGGATCGTTCCTTTCATCCTGTTACTTATGCTCATGCTGCAGTAGCTGCAATGGGTGAATACACCTTACATTTCCTGGGTCTGCCTGCAGTGCAGGGGGGGAAGCCAGAAGGTTTTGGTGTACCCAGCTGTCCCATACTCTGTCCAGCTTACCACCTGCACCCCTGCTTGGCCACGGTGCCTGAGAAGAAAGTTCCCCTGCTGCAGGGTGGATCTTGTGTTCAGAGATGGATCCTGCCTGATGGAGGGGGGGAGATGCTCAGAATGCGACGCTGAATCCATACGCAGTGCAGCAGCAGCAGCTCGCAGGCCTGCGTCGGTCTCTCAACCCACCCACTCCCGCAGCATGTGGCTGCGTACACTCTCAGAACTGGCGGCATGTGCTGTGAGCAGCCAGATCTCTGCTGTCTTGACTGTTGGAAACAAGCGTTTTTTCCTTGGCTTGCAGATCTGAGCCCTATGTGAACAGCCTGGTGAAGATGTACGTGCGGCGGCCGTATTGTTGCCATGAACTGTTTGGGTTTGATATCATGCTGGATGAAAACCTCAAGCCCTGGATCTTAGAGGTCAACATTTCACCAAGGTAAAGCAAATCCTGAGCCACAGCAGAGTGAATAATGGCCTTTCTTTTCCCACCAAGTGAATTTGGCTCGTGATGTCCCCAGCACCCTGTGCTGAAATACCCTGGGCTTGCAGGAATCAAAGTCTTCCCAGTCTGCAAAAGCAACATCTGTCTGCCGCTCAGAAACCTTCCCTGGGCATGCTCCAGCTAGAGCCAGGGAAGAGTACATTAAAAAAGGAAGGCCAAGGATGGATGTGTCATGTAGGGAACGGGTGATAGCAGAGATTTCTTCTTTGCGTGGGCGGAAGTGATCAGTGTCTCTGCTGCCTCATGCACCATTCCTTGCTTGCTGATGGCCCCCAGCCGTGTGGTGTCGGCTGCGCAGACAGGGCTGGGAGCTGCGGTGTGCCTGAGCACGGCCTCTCCTGCCTGCAAGAGTGGATGGGCATGAGCTGGATGTAGAGCTGTGGTCCCACACAGGGCTCTCGGGGTGGATTTGCAGATTTCCAGGAAATCTGGGAAGAGGTGGGGAAACGAACCATTTCTAGTGGGGAGCCCCCATTCAAAGAGCTGTTTTCAGGATTTTTCTCTTAATGTCTCATGGCTGGCTGTGATGAGGTGAGGGACAGGCTGGGTTTTGTATCCTGGTTGCTGTTAACCCAGGGAGTGATCTTGGGGAAGTGAGGCTTGACATCTCTGTTCTAGCACTAAGACTGCTTCCTCCCTGCAGCCTCCACTCCAACTCCCCACTGGATGTGAGCATCAAGGGCCAGATGATCCGGGACGTCCTCAACCTCGCTGGCTTTGTTCTGCCCAGCACAGACAACGTGGCCTCAAGGCCACAGACAAGAAGTGGCTCTACGTGCAGGTCAGACCCCTTCTCTGTCAAAGCAGCATGGCAAGGCAGGCTTTTTTGTTGGGGGATTTCATCTGGGGGCTGCTTGCAGCCCAGCAAGTGCTGGTCTCTGCTGTTGAGAGCCTGTGCTTGCTGGTCCTTCAGCGATGGGTCTGAGGGACTTGCATCATTGCCTGGGTATCTGGTTCCTGCAGTCTCTTCAAGGCAGGAGGATTTATGCCCTCTCTGCAGGCCCATAGTTGGAAGTGAGGCCAGTGTAATTTGTGCTTGCTCTGCAGTTAGTCGAGTCGTGCGCTCTCATCCTTCCCCCTGCCAGAACTAACACGATGCTGAGCTGTACTGCCTCTTCATTTGCTTGGAGGACTGGCTGGCTGGCTGTGTTGGGGCTGGATCCGCTTACCCTCTACCCCAGCACTGACGTGCTGCTGCCTTGAGCAAGAGGAGCACCTGTTATTTTGCAAATGCTGGTGTGATCTGTTCCTTAGACAGGACTGCAAGTGTCAGAGGCTGTAGACCGATGGGTAGGGGTATGCAGAGTCTTACCTTGCAGCTAACATGACTGTTTCTTGCATAAGGCTGATTCCTGGGCATGTGTCCACCCAGGCCCCTGCTCCTTCTGTGTTTCACCACAGCTTGGGCTTGTACTGGTTTCAAACCTGATGGTGGGGGGCAAAACCAGTCCTGTTCCCTGCAACAGAGTGGCTGCTGGCTGTATGTCACTGAAGGAGCAGCTTGCTGGGATAAGCACCAGCATGCAGTGATGTATAGGGATGCCAAAAGATGGGACTCTTGCCCTCCACCTGCCCTGTGCCTTCAGCTAAGGCAGAAGCTTGGAGCGCAGGCCTGTTCCAGCCGGGGAGCTCTCGCCAGCTCATCTGCAGTGATTTGATCACACACTCGTTTGCGGCTTGTGACACTCGTTTGCAGCTTGCGACGGAGGTGCTGAAGGGCAGGTGTCCTCGGAGGGACCTGCAGGGGATTAAGTGGATCCTTAACATTGTTCAGATGATGCATTACCAGAGTTCCTGCATCCAGGGTCAAGCTTGCTTGACTGTATCTCCTGCCCTGGGAAGGACACGAAGGGGTTTTTTGCGTATGGGCATAATTCAAGTAGATCTGTATGTTCCCCAAACACCATGCAGCACAGCCTCGAGGCTCTGCTCTCCCTGTTTGGATCTGCATACAACTAATTTTTGCAGCAGCAGAACAAGCTAGCTGTGTTGATATAAGTGTTAAAAGGTGTTGTATAAGTATCTCCCAGATTCTGGCATCCTCAAATGGTTCAGTTGGGTGCTTAAAATACTTTAGATTGTTGCTGGTCAGCTCGTACGAAAGGCCAAGATTTCCCATGGCACATGGAGCTGGAGCTGAATTTGAGTCTTGAGAGTTCTTGGATGTTGCAGGAGGAAGTTTTTGATCTGAGTTCTCTACTTCCTTGCACGGTACCAGTACCAAATACTCATATGCCCAGCCCTGTGGTTACAGTTAAGAACCTGCATTCTAAGTAGGATGTAAACATGAGGTCCCACCAGGCTTCAAGTGCTGTGAATTGGGTCACGGTGTGGTTTTGGTTCTCTTGCCTCCTATGTGGGTGTGAGTTGATGGTTCACCTTTTGGAAGAAGGAATGCTGAAATGCCTTAGTGAGGAGGTGGCAGGGCCCTCCCTGTTCCCCTGCCCACATCCTTTCTGGGTTCTCTGCTGATGCACAAGGCTGTGGGTACATCACTGATCTTGAAACGAGTAAAATCCTTGGAGAAAGTGTTCTCTCCTCCACAGCATCTTCCTGAGGGTGTCACTGCTCTCACAGAAGTTGCTGGGAGCAGCTCTGCCATGACAGGATTTTGTCTTCTCTGCTTAAATGCTCTACTGCCTTTTCTTGTGTCCTCAGTCTGGGCAGTATTTTGAAGGAGAAGTCCAAGCCAGCATCTGAGCATTTAATAGCGGAGAAGATGAAGAAGGCCTATTACTTGACGCAGAATATACCTGACCAGGTATGACCCAATCTCCTCTGATACTTGCGCCATCCTGCCAAGCCACTGTCCCAACCAGTCCCACAGGTCTATCCCTTGTCCCTCTCGAGATTGTGCCCCTCTGTGGGGACAGCCAGATGATGGGGTGCGCTTGGGCTCCAGTGGCTTACAAGACAGCTGGTCAGAAATAAATTGGGTTTGCTTAAGCCACTGCTCCACTGTCTCATCCTTACATTAAAATAGGCATGTCCTGAGAGGCATGTTACCCGCCAGTCCCCAAACAGGGTCTGAGCGCTGCCTGTTCCTCCTTGTGTCTCTGTGCAGCTCTCAGCCTTTGCCGGTTGACCCTGTGGAGGTTAGCAGGGACGCTTGCCTTGTGTGCCACCTGGCAGTGTCTGTAAGAGAGGCTGAGCTGCAGAACTGGGGATCTCCAGCTCTGCAGCATTGATGTCACCACTGAGTCTAGATTTCTTAATTTTCCACATGGTCTCTGTCCCAGAGATCTCAGACATATGGAGACCTCTGCCTGAGAGACTTTAAGAAGCAGGGAGGTGGGAAGGGGGACTGACAAAATGTAGTTCACTTCTCCCTGACCCAGGGTGGCTCTTGTCTGCAGGACTTTTATTCTTCTGTCTTGGACATCCTGACCCCAGATGATGTCCGTGTCCTGGTGGAGACAGAAGACGAATATTCCCGGCGTGGGCAGTTCGAGCGGGTGTTCCCCACCCACATCTCCATGCGGTACCTGCGCTTCTTTGAGCAGCCTCGTTACTTCAACATCCTGGTGACCCAGTGGGAGCTCAAATACTACTTGAATAAACACAAAGGTAACTGCCATCCAAGAGCCTGGCACAGCCACTTGAGTGAGGCAGGCTGCCTGCTGGTGGTCGTGGGAGACTTCTGAGCTATGCACGTTGAGGGGGAGCTGCCTGACGGCACACTGGCCATGGGAAATGTGTTAGCCTCCCAGACTGCTTCAAATACCACAAAAAGCTTATTCTGAGTTGATCAGAGGTGCTGACTGCTCTGGTAAGTGCAGCACCAGCCCTTCTAGGTGCCCTGGGGCTGAAGCAGGCTGGGATTCTGCCTTCGACGTGTAGCTCTTATTGCATTCCTCTGTCCTCTTTTGAGGGAGAAACAGCTGGAGTCACTGGGCTTTGCTCCTTGCAGGTGATCTGTGAAGTGAAGGAAAAATTGGGCCTATTCCCTGGTCTCTTGCTGCTTTCTAATTGATGAAAAACTGTCTGTGTGCACAAAGGAATTTTTCCTGAATACTAGAAATCCTAGCTATCATTTCCACGTTTCCAGAACATTGTATTTTAATAAAAAACATCCTTTAATGAGGCATAGCTGAGCTGGACCAGTTCCTTCTCCCCCAATGCTGTCTCTGTCAGGGCAGCGGTAGAGGATATTTTGGAGACAGAACCAGTGAGGTCTAGTGTGAAGGGTTAGAGAACATAAAAAGAAAGAGGCTGTGGCTCATGGTTCTCCATCCAGCATCTGATCTATCTGGAGAGGCTTCTGCAGGAGCCAGCCCTCCTCTGAGGCAACCGTATGTGTGCTCCTAGCCTGGCTGTCATGCAGAGAAAAAAAAAAATGCTTTTGTCACTTTTCACTGGTGTTAAAGCAAATATCAAAGGGGTTGGTAACAGTCTTTCACAGAGAGACAGTAACCTCATAGCCCTCTCCAGCTGCGCTGTCAGCATGTGTCATCCTTTGCCTCACTAATACCTTTGCTGGATGCTCTCCTGTCAGCTGGAAGAAAGATCCTGTCATCATCTGCACTGAAGTGCTGCCCTGAACTTTGCCTCTCAGACTGGGGTCCTGGTTTGGTGCTCCAGCTTCCCTGAAGCAGCCCGGCGAGCAGATTTGCTCTACCCCCTCGTTGTTCTTCATCTCTGAGCAAAACCCAACCTTCCCCTGGCCTCTTCCCGTTCACGTATGTTTCATGCAGCCTTCGTCTCGCCCCAGCCAGCAAGGCACAAAGCCTGGGCTGGTGCACAGAGCTGGGGCAGGGCTGCCGAGCTGCCCTGCTCCCCTCAGCCCCCAACACGTGGGGTTTTTTTCCAAAGTCCTGGGGCTTGCTTGAAAGGTCACGGAGGAGCAGAGTTTGCACAGCAAAGATTCCTCCTATAGCCGGGGCTGGTATCGTATAGCAAACCACCGTAACCCCAGCTGGACAGCATCAAATTCCTGGCCATTGCTTTGCTGGTTCTTAAGTCTCAAGGCACCTTAGCTTGTGCTATGGCTCTAAGACTCTTAAAAAAAGAAAACAGGAAGGGAAGACTGCTGGATTTCTCAACATTTCTGGGTTAGCACAGAGCAGAGAACTTGGCTGTAGTGGAGGCCTTGGAGGAAGTGGAGCCTGTTCAGTGCAGTGGGACACGTGGCTCTGCTTCAGGGTGACCTCCCTGTGCTCCGGAGCAGAACATCTCGTGTGGACGAATGGTCCCTTCCATTCACACCGCTGGTGAGCACGGTCCATGGCAGCCTCGCCCTCCGTCAGGGATGGAGACCAGGTCTCAGCCCATGTTGAGCTCGAGATGCATCCGTGCGGGGAGGAGATGATGCGCTGGGGTGCTGCAGCTGATCAGAGCTGTGCAAGGAGGCGGTTGCCTGAGCTGCCCTCCTCTGGGAAAGGGGCCGGTGACAGCAAAGCTGCTCTACATTTGCACTGTAAGAACTTTCACCGGTGCAGCCCAAATCAGGTGCTGCCGTTGGCAGGCACCGGGCTCAGGGGGGACAGCCAGTCTGGTCTAATTCGGCAAATCCCGTGTTGCCCCAGTTTCCCTGCTTAGCTGAGCTTGCTGCACAGTGTGTCTGGCTCCCCAGGAGAAAGGCAGGCACTGCTGCAGCCCACGTGCTGGCGCTCGCTGGTGTTTGTTCGTACAAAGGGTGAACGCCCTTGGTTTACCCCGTGTTTGCTGGGGCTCAGGCACGTGTTCAAGTAGTTGTTGCATAGCATGTACTGCACAGCCAGTTCACTCCGTGCAGCATATTTGCGTGCCCCAAGCTGGGAAGGCTTAACTCTCTGCAAACTTGGTCGTTCATTCTCACTTCTTGTCTTTTTTGTCACTTCCCAGGTCTGGAGCTACTGAAGAACTGGTGTGTCAAAGGGTACCACACTGGGGCAGGGATGGATTTGGCCCAGACGGTGCGTATGGCTTTGGGTAAGGTAGGGAGAGGTGGTTGTTTGCCTGGGCAGAGTTGGGCAGAGAGCCTGCTTGTTCTGCTTCCTGTGACTCCTGCCCTACCTGTTTGCCCTCTTCTTCCCTCTCTGCTAAGGCCTCCAGGAGTCTGGAGAAACCCACGCTTCTCTGTCTCTCACCAACATGAAGTCCACCCAGTATATCAGATCTGCAAGTACTTTGCATCTGAATATCCTTGGGTGCACTGGGCACAGCCCCACATATTTTGCACCTGGCCTGCGCTTTATTCGCCTCCGCGAGGAAGCCGTCTCCATCTGTCATTTCTGTGCCTTGCAGCAGGCTGATCCAGTGAAAGAAACCCACTCTTTTGACCTCGAGATGCTCTGCTCCCATTTACAGCAGAGGGATTCATTAAGCAGAGAGCAAAGACTGCTCTGTTTGCTATTCTGGGAACAGTCTGGTGGCAGTGATGATGCACAGCAGCGTGAGGCAGTTCAGGCTGAAGCGCACTAGGGCAGCCTACAGCAGAGCCCAGCAGGCTTGAGGGATTTTTGCCGTGACTTAAATAGCCATTTGGTTGTCTTTCTCTCTTCCTCCAGTGGTCATTGCCAAAGTCTTTCTTTCTCCAGAAGAGCGGCGTTCAATCAAATGGCTTCAGCAAACTGGAACTGGGCAGACTGGGGTGAGTTTCCACTGGCCATGACGTGCATGATGTTCACAGCGTGGCTTTAGGACTGGTATCTTGCGAGAGAACTGGCAGCAGGGAAAGCAGCTTTGTTTAAGGGCAGAGGAAGAGGTTGGCTTGCAGGCGCTGAAGCCAGCCTCTGCTCTCTGGAGAGCCAACTGGTGGGACTGGCATGATGTCTATGCGCCTGGGCATGTCTCCTTGGCACTGTACACCCAGTTCAGCTGGGAGTGAGGCCCACAACAGCCAGACTGGGTGATGTTTGGCATTGTCATGGTCAGGACGCGCTGATAAGATGTTCCCCACAGGGACCAGCACTTCTGTGGGTTCTGATGTGGCCAGCAGCGAGCAGAGGCTCTCAGCTGCAGCGTGGGGCTGGGAGAGCAGCGAGGCCTCCGGGACTGCTGCTTTCTCAAGCAACGCTGGGCTGGGAAATGGCTGCTGCTGGCCCTGACAGCCTCCTGCAGAGAGGTAGAGGACTGGGGTTCGTGTGGGTGAGCTGAAACAGAGGGCAGGCACACA